AGCACAGCTCCACCACCAGCCCTCCCACCCAGACCTTCCCTACAATGGGGCCCAAGAGAGGATCCCCCGTGCCAGTCTGGTCTTGCTTCCACCACCTCCAAGTTGGTTCAGCCATGGCTCTGGGGCACAGGCCGCTCAGCACACACTAGGACAGCCCTGGCATTGAGTGCAGCCCCACAAAGAGACCCACACACTCCTCTCCTGCGTGGCCGTCTGGGCAGGAAAACTGCTGGAGCTGAGTCAGGTTTGCGTGCTGCCCCCTGAGCCAGGAGTTGTACAGCTCTCCACTGTGATCATGGAGGACCAGCATCCAGATTTATACATTTGCCAAACATTTTGATCTCCATCTGAGCAAAGACTGGAGCCACAGTAACATTTGTGAGAGGAGATCTGAGAAGGAGAGGAAAGCCAAAACAGTATAAATCAGGAATTATAAGTGCTATATATAGTGCAGTAGCAGAAAGGCACGGTGGAAAATGTGAAAGCCTGCAGTGATGGCACTGTAAAAACATCTTTCATTTAAAAACAAAACAAACAACAACAAAAAAAAAAACAGGCTGCTGAACTGCCTTACATCACAGGTGGGGAATTAAGCCTGCAATGCTGAAGTGACCTGACCTAACCTATACAGGGAGTTTGTTGTGCATCTGGGACATGAATTCAGGTCTTCTGTGTCCTGGACATACAACTCTTTCCAACCTGAAGGTAAAAAAGCCTTGAAACAATAAAAAATAAAATAAAATCATAGGCTGTCTCAGCTATTGATGGGCAGAATGAGTAGAAAGAAAGGAATTCCATTCTCTGCATTTGTGGCTGCACCCAGCTGAGGGTGCAAGGACCCTCAGGCTGCCTCCCAGATTCCTGCAAACCATGCTGGATCAGAGTGGCAATGCAGAGCTCAAGCTTGGTGTCCTTCTGAACCAGAGCGGAGGTTCTTGGAAAGGGCAAGACGAGCAGTGACACCAGCTCCAGCACCAAAAGGTGTACGCAGGGAAGGTCTCGCTGTGATGTCAGCCTGCGTGGACTCATGCTGTCCAGATACAACACGGGAAGAGAAATCTGAAGTCCAATATCTACTTGGCATGCTGGTGGGCTTGCACCTCTTTCCATGAGCATCCACTGGAAAGAGAGCTCCATCCATGCCCACACAAATAAAAAAAAATGCAAATATGAAAACTGTAGAAAACCACTTGCAGCTGGTTGTTGTCACAAGCTGTTCTGTACACTGCTATTCCTAAAATCCACAGTGCTTCCCAGGCAAGGAGAGGAGAAACTGGAGGAAAGCACAGAAGTCATTGCTTGGGGTGCCAGCCTGCCAATGTGGCATGCAAAGAGGGTGCAAGAGTGCTCTCTGAAGGAAGATCACTGGTTTGATGTCTTGTGCTGGGCGAAGCTGCAAGACCCTTCAGCCACTGGAGCCAGAGAGAGCAGGATCTTGTATTCCTTGCTGGCAAAGCAAATTTACACTGGGGCTTGCTGGTGGGCAGTAGGATAAGGTTTTTATTCCACCACCATTCCACAATATGGCAGTTTGTTTGTGCATCCCGATCCATCCCCCCTCCTATGGATGTATGCATGTCGGGAAGGACATTCCACCACTACTGGAGGAGCATCTGGGTCCTGCCACAAAGATAAAGACCTCATGCACGGTAGGGATGGATTAGCACTGAAATCCTTCCTCCCTCATCTTTTGCTGAAATCCTTCCTTTTTGTTTGCTTTTCTCTTCCTTCCCAAATGGCTTCCTGGCCTCTTCTTTAAGGGGGCATGCCAGGGCCCAGAGTAGGGGTCTGCATGGCGCTCACAACAGGCCCCGAGACAGCTGCAGTGAAAGGGATGCTGCAATCCTAAATGCCCTGTGCGCTCTACATATTGTGGAAAAAGCTGTTGCATTCATCAATGTCAGACGCAGAGTTTGAATAAATTTGAATGCACTCAAGCGTGTTCCCTGCAGTTTTCTATAATATCACTTTCCAGTTTGAATATTTCACTTACTTTTTTTCAAATTTCTTTTTATCCACCAGTTTTTCCTCCTTTTCATCCTCTCCTCCCTTCCTCTCCTCCTGCCACCTCACCCCCTCTCCAGGTTTTCACATTTGCAAGCCAAGCAACTGGGCAAGGAGGGCATGCTGCAACCTTCCTCTCAGCAGTGCCCTGGGGAAGGCAGGCACTTCTCACAATGCAGTGACGCCTTCCCAGCCTCTGCCCAGTTTGGATGCCTTCCCACCCCGGCATGGCACCCTGCAGAGTGCTGTGGGGTGCAGAAATGAAGTGTTTGCGAGGCACCAGCATAGCATCAACTCGTGGGGTGCTCACAAGTGGCTCTCAGTTGCCTTGGCTCAGGAGCCAAGCTCTGGATGTGGAGAGGGGACAGCATAGTCAAGCAGTGCCATGAGCCACCAATGGGGTCCCATCGCATCCTCTGAAGGTCAGAGCTCATCACTGAGGAGCAGCAGGTCTGAAGCTGCCCTGCTGCTGGTTTTGTATAGCGCTGTCCCAAAGCTACACCTGGGCAAACAAGTGGAACTGAATTTGTACCTTCCTTTTTCATTTTTGCCACCAGCCTGGAGCAAACTATCAACCCCTTTCATCTCCCACATTTGACTTTGTTCCCTTTGTAATGGAAATTAGACTTATGTGTTGGTAGACCACCGAGTGATGCAGGCTAAGCAGACATGCTGAAGGGTTAATTGTACTCTTCACCAGCCAAAGAGAAGGGGGTGCTCTTTTTAACCCCACTTCTTGGCTAGGTTTCCCTGCATTTTGTAAAGCAGGAGGAGAAATGGCTTGTTCTGACCTCCACGACTGCCTTCTCCTGCCTGGGAGCATCCTGGGGTAGAGGGCTGCAAGTGTGCTGGGGAGCGGGGAGGGGGAAGGGGCTGGCAGCACCCAGGAGTGAATGAATTCTGCTGCTTGTATTGAGAATTCACTGCTCTCCCTGGTAGTGAAAACTCTATGATCTTGTGACTAACCACTTTCCCCTTTCACTGTTTTTGATTTATATCCCATTACTTCGCCTGTTTGTGCCTTGCAGACATGAATTTTTTCCCTGACATCTCCTATGCAGCAGCCACGTCAAAACCTTTGATAAAATAATAGTGGTAAGACGTTTGCATGGCTGTTTTTATGTTTCCGGGGATATAGACATCAATTAAAACTCTTCATACAATCTGATCCGTCGTTATTAAAGGCATTAATACCGGCACGCCCCTCAGATTAGGGGCTGCTCACTGGGCGATTGAGGAAAGCAGGGAACAGTGTCCGCATGCGTCCCCTTCCTGCTCGGCTCCCACGGGGACCCTGCCTGGAGCACGGCTGGCATGGGCTGCCCGGGGGGGGGCGTGGGGCAAAGGCACCAGCAGTGCACAGCACTGCCCTCCCCACACCTTTTATGTTATCAGGAGACCTTGAACGATGAGCACCAGCCCTGCCACTGACCCCAAAGACCAAAGGTGCCAGAGTTTCTTGCACACACAAGCCCCAGGGTGGCCAGAGAGGGCAGCTGAGGTCACAGCCATGGAGCAACCGGTGCTGAGCGTTCCCTAGGGAAAAGCCATCTCCTTCCGCAATGCAGGTAAAATGGAGAGATGAGAGAAGATGTGATTTTCCCCATAGCAACTTGTGCAGCTTTTCCTCATTAATGATATCTACGTGTTGTCAAATACAAGAAGCATCTCTCAAACAGGAGGAAACTGAGGACATACGGGTTATATTGAGCAGGCACCTAACTGAAGGGAGAAATGGGCTCTGCAGTGGTCAGCCTGTAAATAATGTCAGTGTCATCACTCAGGGTTTCACATGGTGAGGCAAACCAGGAGGCCTGAATTATGCTTTCCTGTCTAGACCCACTTGTGCCCAGCATTTCTCATTCAACACAGACTAAAGCAACTCCTGCTGGAGCTGGGCACAGTTGGTGTCCCCACCTAACCTCCTCACAACGCCTCTCGTGGGGTGAAACCTGAATTTGCAAAGAATGCTTTTGGAGATGGGGGCTTTCCCTTTTCCCTCCAGTGTGCCCACCACCCAGAAGCTGTGCTCCCTCCTGTCAGCACCATGTGGTCCCCCAAAGGCTCCTGTTGGTGATAATGCCTGCTCCAGTGCTGCTGGAGGACTCTACAACTGGACTGAAATTGCTGCCTGGTCTAGGAAAATTTCCCTTCTCATATTTTTTCCAAATCTCCATTCCATGTAGCAGTGAGATGGAGGAAATCCCCTTTAATGCATGGTGGTTTGCATGTTATTGCTGTCCCTGCTGTATTTACAGTGTTTCAGGTATTACTGTTTTTCTCTCTCTCCTTGTTTTCCCCCCTTGTCCTGGTCCTTCAGCTTGGCATCTCCCATGAGCAAGGACAGTCGATATGAGCACAGCAACCCCTGTCTCCTCTCCCAGTCATACCAGCCACCTTCCCTTTGCCTTCCCAAGGGCCTGGAAAACACAGCTAAGAAATGGTGGAAGAAAGATGGGGACAGTATCTTGCAGACAGCCTCCACCAGCAGCACCATACCCTCCACACAGGTGCAACAAGTGCCCTGAGATGCAGCAGGGCTTGGTGACGGTGCAGACCCCAGGAGGGGATGGCTTCTCTTCCAGCCTGCCCGTGGGGCACAGGAGGCCATCAGCCCAGTGGGTTGAACAGGATAAAGGTGGAGAAATCTGCCCAGAGCATTTCCCTGGGATGGGAGAGATGCCCCTGGGAGGGAAATCTCCCCTCCCTTGTCCAAAAGAAATGTTGGTGACCACCCACCATGGGGCTGGGGGGTGACAGGGGGCTGAAGGAGGGACAAGGCTCGTGCACATCCTGCGAGGTGGCAACTCCTTTGAGCACTGGTTTTCCATTGCCCCAGGGGAGCTGGGGGGAAGCATGTGTCTCTCAGGCACACGGCAGCCCTGACTGGGTAACGGTGCAGAACGTAAAGTGTTGTCTATTAGGTAGGAGACTGGTTAATACAAAGAGTTGTTGGTAATAACAATGTCCTTTCAGCAGTGACAGAGACAAAGTACCTGCATGTGGCGTGTACCACTGCGTGCAGCGAGTGATGGTCGCAGGGAAGCTTTGGAGATCATTTGAATTTCACATCCAGGGAGAGTCGGCCTATCATTAAAAAACCCTAATTTCAGTGTCAGGTGGAGTTCCAGGTAATCGATCATGGTGTCAGCTGGTACAGGCTCTCCCTGCCTCCTTGCCTTGCCTCCAAGTCAGCCTTGGTTTTTTCCAATTAAACTTGTTGCTGGCATCCGGAGGGAAGCGTGGGAGTGCAGGAGGGGCAGCCCACCCGGCCCCCTTCATTACTGGTGAGGTGGGGTGGAAGGGGCCAGGAAGGGGGCCGAGGGCTGCAGGGATGGGTGCTGGAGGGGGCCAGGGGTAAGGGAAGGGGATGCTGAGAAAGTGATTTTTGCTGCAGCAAGGGGCAGGAGGGACTTGCAGGGGGGTTCTGGAAACATCATCGCATCTGGGGGAAGGCATTGTACACGTCCTCCCATGCGTTACTGATGCTGCCAAGCCCCACCAGCCAGTTTTGCTGCCTCCCACATCCTCTCTGCCCCTATCCAGCGTCAGGCTTTCAAACCCCCTGTGCCCACGCAGGCATGTCTCACATCCCCAGCCCCTTTCATTCCCCACCAGCCAGCTCTCCAGGGCCCATCTCCTGCTCTCCAGGGTCAGATTCACTTTAATGGGTAGCAGAAGGATCCAGGCTCCTGTTTACAGCTTCAGTTTCCAGGGCAACATTTTTGGCAAGAGATTTTTTTGGTTACAAAACAACCTTCCTCTTCCCCCAAAGGTCAAATCTGCATGAAGAATTGCCACCAATTGAAACATGCTCTGTTTTCCATCACATTTCACCCCAGTTTTAAAACATATCTGTAACCAAAGTTGACTGAAGAGGCATTATACAGGGGGAGAAAAATACTTCAAAAATAACACCAATAAAATTGTGCTTTATAAAACTGAAGGAATCTGTTAGAAAAAGAGCTTCTAATTCCTACATACATTTTGCAGAAAATCCCACTGAAATCTTACTACATAGGAACCATATTGAAATTGAAACACTTCTGCAGCATTTGCTCAATCCTTCGGCTAGTCCTCTGCACTGCTGTGACTATGTGGTAGCTAAGGTTTAGAAATGGTAACAGAGCCACCCTTTACTGACATTTGTACCTACAGCTCAGAAATACCAACCGTAAGCAAGGACTTGGTGTCCCATGCACCTAGTACAGGACATTCACAGACCCAAAAAGCAGCAAACAATCAGGGGCAGACCCATCATCCTGTGTGATGGGCAGGGCACAGACACACCGAGGATGACACCTCGCGTTATGCACAACCCCAGCTGAATGACTCGGTTGTGCTGCCGTAAGGCTGAGATGGGGAACAGGGGGATCTGGGGGCAGGATTGCCCCGGTGGACTTACTGTGCTCAGGGCTTTCATGCTCAAGTGATTTCTAAAGACGCAGCAAAGTGGAGAGAGGCTCTGAAGGGCAGCGCGGGGTGAGCCAGGTTGCAAAGCCAGAGTCCACCGGGGGCAGGCTGAAAGGGTCATCCAGGGCTGAGTGGTGGGGTCTGCAGTGCGGGTGGTCAGCAGATACAGCTGGAAGGGAAAACACAAAAATGACCTTAAGCGCAGGTGCAGGCACAGCTGGAGAGGTAGGAGGTGGAATGGTGCAAGCAAGCAGCTAGATTGGCTCTCGCTGCGGTGTGAGGACGCTGCCCATCTCCGCTGAGCCCCCTCGGACTTGTCCGGGCATCCACATGACAGGGAAAGGTCAAACGGGTCTAACTGCAGCATTGCAGAAATGCAGTTTTTGCTTCCAAGGGAGAAACTGGGCAGCAGGAAAGGCATTGCTGTAACACTTAACTGTAAAGCTGGGCAGGGAGCCCAAACGTGGAAAGTTGAGGTTAGCAGCATTCACAGTTGGATCAAAGGTTGGTGTGTATCGGGAACGTCCAGCCAAGACTGGAAATCTCTCATGCACAGAGAACTGGCAATGCCATTTGTGCCAGCGCTGCAGAGGGGCTGGTGGTGATTTTGGGGAGCCAAGATGGAGCAGTGTGCCACAGGAGAGCCTGGTGCAGAGACTGCCTTCCCTCCTACTGACACGGATGTGTGCCGGGCACAGGGCCAGGCGTGCACCATGGAGACCTTCCCTGTGCTCCTGGTGGCTGGTGCACGGACAGGGCTTCAGCCCAGCCACCACTCCTCCCAGGACTCGGGACCACTCTTGATCCTGGGGGCTACCTGCCAGGTTCAGGTCTCCTGCAGCTGGCAGCTTTGCCTAGGTTTTGCAGGACTCCCAGACAAAGAGGCAGGAGGCAGAGCACAGCTCAGGTCCTGTTTGCCAGGTGTATCGGTCACTTCTTGCACCTTCTGAGCTTCCTTATCTGCTGTTGGAGCAGTTCGTTTCTCACTTGGCTGTGGGGTAAAGGCAGTCCTGGCCCGAACCTGGCCAGGTGAGTGTGACAAGCCCAGGGCTGATCCTCACTGAGGTGCAGTCCCAGCTTGCCAGGACATTTGTCTGCTGCTGCAGCTCGCATGGGACTGGAGGTACTTGGATCCCACATGATGCCCAGAGGAGAGGAGAAACCAATTGCCTTTGCTTCAAGGGCACCAAGCAAAGCATAAAGAAACTATGTGCAAATTGAATGGGAGGCATTAGGAAATATCTTTGGAGAGAGCACAAGTTTCATCAGCACGGTACGGACAAAGATTGATACCTCTGACTTCTCCCTCTCCCGTCCCTCCCTGCCCCTCGGGCAGCTCTTCTGTCTGCCAGCTGCAGGCCAGGCAGCATCCCCAACCCCTCGCAGAGAAGTTGGCAGTGGCTGTGGCTTGTTGAGCCTACCTCAGGTTCCTGAGGGATTAACCTCCGTGATGAATGCCCAGGCTGAGGCTCACTGCACAGAAGGGTGGCCAGGTTGGGGCAGGGGCTGGGACCTCTCTGCTCCCCTACAAATGACTCTGGAAGTCTCAAGGCAGGAAAGGCAGCTCTGGCACTGCCTGTGCCATCACTGGGGCTATGTATATTTAATTTTCCTGCATGATCTTGTTGGTGATGGGAACGGCTCTCCCCAGGGCCTTGCACAACATCCCAGTTCCCCCACCCACACCAACAGGAGCCGCTGCACTGGAAAGAGCAAGGCCAGCACAGGTGATAATGCAAACTGGAGGAGGTGAGGCCAGTGCTGGCAGGCTCATCTCCTAAGCTCACGGTAACAGTGACAAATCTCCCGTCGTTTGTTCCTTCCTCGCCTGGCACTTTTGTTTCTCTTTAAATGGAGTTTATCATGGTGCAATGGGCTTTTTTCCAAGCTAATGTCTGTCAGCTCCAATTTGTTCAAACGACCTTCGTAGGCTCAGGGGAATTTTAAAAATAAATAAAGAAAGGCCTGCTGGAGTGCTCAGGGAGGGCTTCACCTGACAGCCAGTGATAGAGACACCTCGGAGCCTGCAAGCGCTGCATCCTCCTGGGACCGAGCCAGGGGAAATGAGCTGATTAGGGGAAAGACTCTGGAGCCCCGGGGACACCTACTAGGTGGAAGAGAGGACAGTGCTGAGCCACAGACAAGGGCTGCTGCTGGCAGGAAAGAGGAAGAGAAGCATACAGCACTCACCTCCCAGCACCTTTCTCTGGGACCCATCTTCCTCTGTGACCCCGTGCTGGCAGTAGTTACAGCAGCCCTCCCCAGCCATCTTTCACTTGTTTCAGATTGCAGGGGAAAGAAGAGCCCAAATATTTTACTCACTGCAAAACTTGAAAAATGCCCTGATGCCACACCAAGTTGCTAGGTAGCTTCCCTTCAGTGCAGTTTCCCACTGGGCAACCAACTTCCCTCAGGCTCTCTGAAGCACTGATATTTTTAAAGCAGTGTTCTTTCTGCTTGTACAACGGCCTGGCTTTGGGATGTAAGTCCAAACTAAGTCCCCCCTCCTCACAGCCATTCCTGATTTAGCACTTCTGCAGCAAAGACGCGGTGCTGCAAGCTGTCCCATATCCAGCCTTCCCTCCGGACCTCCCTGGCATAAGCAGAGCTTTTCATGGCCCTAGGGATCTTGGCTACTTCTCCCAGCCAGCCCTGGATCCCAGGGATCTGGATCCCAGTGTTCACAAGGAGTTGGGCCATGAGAATACCAGACATCATTATTTTTATTCTTGATCCCCTTCAGCTGGAGCTAGACAAGGAACATCCCTAACCCATGCACAAAAACACGCACATCCCGAGGAGGGAAGCAGGCAGTGGTGTACGTGTATTACCGGGGTTGTATTTGTAGAGTTGGGAGCAGGGCAGTGGAAGTGGACATCATCATTCAGATCCTCCCGGTCCCCGATTCAAGCCATAAATCAGGCTGGTGTAGTGGAAGGTGTTCCTGCCATGGGCAGGGGGGGACTGCACAGCTTGTGCAAGGAACAGTTTTTAGGATATTGATGCTTTATGAGAATTGCATCTTTAGGGTCAAAGTCGGAATATACTTGCAGTGAGACCAATGCTGGGATTGCAAATATGACAGCATATTTCATGTCCGCTATTTTCTGTTTGCAAACCTAGGTGTATTTCTGGGGTGTAAAATAAGGTTGATTTTGCCTCGGACCTTCTGTGGTTGAGGATGGGAGTAACAAGGAATTTGTAGACAAGTCTTTAGAACTGAATTATGACAGCATCAACTTTCTCAACGTCAAAGAAAGAAAGAAAGAAAGAAAGAGGAAGGAAGGAAGGAAGGAAGGAAGGAGAGGAGAGGAGAGGAGAGGAGAGGAGAGGAGAGGAGAGGAGAGGAGAGGAGAGGAGAGGAGAGGAGAGGAGAGGAGAGGAGAGGAGAGGAGAGGAGAGGAGAGGAGAGGAGAGGAGAGGAGAGGAGAGGAGAGGAGAGGAGAGGAGAGGAGAGGAGAGGAGAGGAGAGGAGAGGAGAGGAGAGGAGAGGAGAGGAGAGGAGAGGAGAGGAGAGGAGAGGAGAGGAGAGGAGAGGAGAGGAGAGGAGAGGAGAGGAGAGGAGAGGAGAGGAGAGGAGAGGAGAGGAGAGGAGAAAGAAAAAAAGAAAAAAACTTATTGCCCTGATGAGCTATTTAAGAGGGAACTTGAACACAAACACACAAAGTGATGTCTACCTGAGTCTGCCGACAGCCTGGACAGTAGCTGATAAAGGCATGAGCTGCTCACACCCATCTCCATACATCAGCTCTGAAATCTAATGCTGACACTTTAGAAATAACCACTCAAAAGCTTTCCTAGCCTGAAATTTTTGCAGATGTCTGCAACTCATTTAATTAGCCACCAATCCCAGGTTGTTTTCTGTTTCTTTCAAGAAAGCAAAACATTTTACTGTCTTTTTGTCAACAGCCAATGCAACCCTGTATCTTCCATGTTACAGACATTCATATTGCATTCAAAACAAGGCACCACCTCAGAGCATGGTAATAGCACAGAATAAAGACCTTGCCATAAATTTCAGTAAGTCTAGGAATCTCAGGATGATTCTGTTGTTCATGATTCTCTTCAGTTCATCTCTCCTGGCACATAGATCATGCTGCAGTCCTGCCTGTGCATCTTATTCCTCGTCGTGGTGGGGTCACACCACTGCTCAGCTCCTCTCACAGCCAGCACTGCAGCAGTTCAGGCAGGACTGAGGGCTGCAGACTCACTGGGGGAGGCAGCATGGGCTGGAGGTGGGAGGAAAGGTGCTACTGGTGGTGTCCTGGTGAGCCCTGGAGTGACTTTTAGATAGGGCTCGTAATGGTCTTGTGTTTATTTTAAATGATTAAGAACAGGGTTTAAAGCTGAAAGGAGAAATGCCAGGACTAGGAAAGTTGCTGAGTGCCTTGTTACCATACTCCCAGGTTCCTGTGTCCCCTTGTGTTCTGGTAACACAAATGAAGTTCAACCTGAGTTTGCAGACAGCCTGGAAAAATTTCCCATCAGGAATGTTCTTACTGTCCTCAGCCTGATGAGGCTCATCCAGCTCCACTCTCACCTTTCTTAACAGCCCCATCCATCCCCGTGTCTCACTGGGTTCAGCTATATCTACCTCCATATCATACAAATACATCTGGAGGGCCATTCCCATCTACACCTGTCTGTGTTCATCCATCCACCTATCCGTCCATCCATCCATCCGTCCATCCATCCATCCATCCGTCCATCCATCCATCCGTCCGTCCATCCTTCCATCCATTCGTCCACCTATCCATCCATCCATCCATCCATCCATCCATCCATCCATCCATCCACCTGTCCATCCATGCGTCCGTCCATCCATCCACCCATCCCTCCTTCCACCCATTTCTAGCTGCCCAGCTCCCCGTGAGAGCTGACCCTCCGGAGCATTTAATCGGCACCACAAGGATTGCCACACAAGCCTCTCGAGGCTCTCTGACCATCTCAGGGAGGATGCTCCTCTCCCAGGCAGCAGCTGGGGGGATGCTCGTGCTGATCCCCTGTCCTCCTCTCCCCTCTTCTGAAGGGGCCAGCCCTGTGATGCTGAGAAAGCTGTGCGTGGCTGGGCTGGGAGCACGCAGCCAGGAAACCTCTTTGCCAAGGGTTTTCTCCCTTTGTGCAGGCTTGTGGGGAGCCTATTTGGCAGAGCAGGGACTGCTGCCCTCTCTCCTGCCACCCTCCCCTTCCCCACCGGCAGCCCCCAGCCCGGCAGAGAGACCAGGCTGGATGGAGAGCCTTTCTCTCCAGCGTGCCGCACTATGACAGATGATTGACTCGAAACAATATCTAAGGCGATCAGGATAAAGTACCGACCA